TTGTTTATTTTTTATGTACTTGTGAGGTGTAAACAAAATTTTTTAATAATATAAAATTATTTGTTGTTAGTCAGTAACAAATTTTTTTAGTAAGTAAATCAATCATACTTGTTAAACTGTAGAATAATTAAAATTTAATTTATATGCACTTGCAGGTTCTAAAAAAAAATTGTAAATACCTTTATGAAAAAAGAAGTCATCATTTATCGGTTTTTCAGAACATAATACTTATAGATTTCAGAAAACTTTAATAAAATAATTGTGGATCTAAAGTTAATTTGTAACGTACTTATTACGCATTAGTAGTAAATTTTAGTAATTTTTTTTCAACATTGTCCTTGAATCCCCTATTTTTGTAGTGCGTGCGCTGTAAGACACTTAAATCATTGGGTAATATTTCAGAACGTGTAACTCAAATATCATGACGCAATTAATTTTGCAGTTACCATAAAGTACTGTTACTGGCTATTATTTAAACTAAAAATCAAAATTACTTTTGGTTTATGATTTAAATCACAAGTAATTCAGAATTATATCAAATTTCATCACTTTAAAATCACTAGTATATCATTTAAATCACGCTTTATTGATGATTGTAACGTTTTAAAACATGAATGACATTTTAAATTAAATTCTTTACGTAGCTTTTTCTACCTTGTAAAATCACGAAATATCCTGTTGGTGAGCACGTTATCAGAAGATGCTTCTAAACAATAATTGGCTTGCACGAAAATAAAGTTAACCAGCGACCCATGCTATATACGAAGGTTATTTGTCTGAGGAAAAAGAGGACGAATTTTGTAAAGAAAAAGAAAAACACCTTACCTTTGCAGCCGGTTTTTAAATAAATTTCATGTTCATCTTTATTGCGCCGTCATGAAAAACAGAGAACTGACTTTTATAATAAAAATTTTTAAATGTACGCCCTGTCTCCTCTGTGAATCATAAGTGTTATGAAAGTAGAAACAAATGTTTTAATGCTTACTGTAAAGCACAAAAATCATTGGAAAATATTGCAGAACATACAACCTATATCATATGTTTATGATGTATTGAATTTTGAAATAAATAATTCGTAAAAATAAAGTACTGTGACTGGCAATTATTTAAGCTAAAAATTATAAATTTTTGTGATTTACGATTTAAATCACCATGAAATCATTTTTAAATCACGATTAATTCATGTTTGTAACATGTCAAAAAACAATTGACATTTTAAGTTAAATCCTTTTTGTAGCTTTCTCTGTCTAACAATGTTATACAATGTTTAGTTAATGAGGACGTTGTCATATAAGATGTTGCTAAGTTATAACGGGCCTAGATGGAGAAAAATGTAGACAGTGGTCAACGAGGTGATCAATACTTCATATGAAGAGCATGGTTTTATATCTACTATTATTCAAATACTAAGATTTTTTTCAACTAGTGTCGGGAGCTACGTAAAAAAATGTATAATGAAATTGTGGTAAAAAGTTGGGATGAAGTTAAAAATATTTAAAAAACTCACCTCGGCCTAAAAAAATAGTCTTAACCACTGTCGAAAAATATTTTCTTCTCTTAAAATCCATTGAAAAAAAAACCAAAATTTATTCGGTATGATTAAAGGACCAATAGGACTAAATTTATTTACAATGTATGATGTAAACTGCTACAAATCATTATTAAGTAAGAATTAACTTTTGCTTTATTGATATATCAAAGTTAAATGCATTAACTTGGAACCGGATTGAAACGTATAAAAAATTTTAACGAATTCTTATATTTTTTGATTGCGTATTATTAAGCACAATTGTCTTTAGATAATATGTTCATTACACTGATGACATTTAGTTGTGACACTTTTATACGAGGTTCGACTTCTTTTATGTCAGGGCATTGCAAATCACAGTTTAGCGAAAATTATTATATTTCTAACTTCCTTCTCCGTATAATTCTATAATTGTTAACAACGTTTTGTTATATTCTTGGAGGGTGTAAATAAAATTTTCTAATAATTTAACATTATTTATATTTGGTCAGTAAAAAATTTTAATTAAAAAATATATGCATCATCTTTAAGTTGTATAATAA